CCCCCTCCCCCTCCCCCGCAGGCCGCGGTCCTGTTGCTTTCCGACGAACAGCGGAAACCGCGTCGGCTCCAACTCCAGTCGCCGGCGGACGCTGCCCTGGGCTCATCAGCATGATTTCCCTGACGGCCGGCACGGCCGCCAGCCTGGCGAAGATCGCCCCGCCGCGCGCCGCGACACACGTCGCCGACGAGAGGAAGGGCAAGAGGGCCAAGAAGAAGGAGAAGAAGGCCAAGAAGGCGGACCCCCCTGAGGAGCAGGAAGGCGAGGGAGGGAAGGAGCCCAAGAGGAAGGCGAAGCTGTGCCGCTGTGTCACCTGCCGTCAGAGGCCATCCTCCAACATGGACACCACCGCCTGGACCCTGGTCCTCTTCCTCTGGATCTACATCCTCTACTGCGCCGTCGGCCTGCCTACCCAGTCCGTGCTCGGACAGATGTCCCTCATCCTCGCCCTGGTCGTCGTGGCGTGGTGCTTCGGACGGTCCCGGCTGGAGGGCCAGGGGGACGGTGAGTGTGGCCAGGGTCCCCTCCCCGTCTGGTTGGGTCCGCGGGTCACTGTCGGGGTCGGGCCCGGGTCCGCGCGCACCAGTACCACCTGTTGGGCAGGGCTCCGTAACTTATCATAACACGAACGAAGGTTAGTTACTCAACGTAACACCTGTAATGGTCAGGAACAATGAGCAGGAATAGGCTTTCGCAGATTTACAAAACGCTTTGAAATCCAAAATTACAAATTATGTCGTCAATTTACTAAAATATTTTACTCAGTGTCCGTTTGACTTTTTCCACGCCCCTCCCTCCCTGCCTCCGCGAGGTACCCCCACGGTGCGCTACGCCCCGCCCCCAGCTCGCCCCCAGCCCCACTGTGTCAGTAAGGCAGTGAGGAGGATCGGCTTCGTGATATCGACCGGACGGACGCGGGGGGCGCGGCCTAGAGCGGGCCCTGTGGTGGGGCGGGGCGAAGGGCGCTTGGGGCTCGCGCGCGACCGCCACCCCCACCGCCCTCTGGTCTCTAGCGGGCCAGGGTCAGGAGCGCCATGTGTGACCCTGATCCTAATTGAAGGTCAGGCGTTCTCTCTTCTGGAATCCATCGCGCATCGCACAGTTCGGGCGCGAAACGTCGCATCAAGGCCATGAACAAGGCTATCCAGACCATACCGCGCC